TAGAGACTGAATAGCAATGGCAAAAAGCAACAGCACCAGTCTGCAGGCAGGGTGAGGATGAAAACTGCTTGTCCCAGCAGTAACGAACAGCAGACACACATTCCCAGCCACTCTCGGACTAAGTTTGCAAACAGAGCAAAAAAGGGCTTGAAGAAATGTACACACGGTCACTTAGCAGTGGTTTGGATAAGGATCTAAATATTTAGCCAGCATTTCCAGCACGAGTCCTTAGCCCAGCTCCTCCTCCGTGGGGTCGTACTGGAAGAGGAGAACTGCTCCCACGGGATGAGGTGAACAGTCTGAAAGGCACCGCACCACACTCAGGCCCTCAGGGTCCTGCTGCCCAGCATTAACTTACGTCTAAATCCAACCCCAGGTACAAGCCGGAGAAAGGCCAGCCGGTAGTGAATCGTTCCTGCCGTACCGACGGGGATCACCGCTTCACAGAGAGAAAAGAAGATCGTTACACCAGCAAACAAGCAGCAGCACGAACTCCTGCCCTGACCCCCCAAGCTCCCAGGCAGACCTCACACCCACAGCCCACGTCCCACGCTGGTTCACTTCTCCTACTCAAAACGGCCAGAACATCCCCAAATTCACCTTCGTGGGATCCGCCTTTAGAGTATAGCCCAAAGAGAGCGCCAAAGAGAATAAGCTAAACCCAAGGGTGATGTGTAAAAACGGCGTAAGAAGGGCCGGGGTGCGAGCAGTTCGCTTGGACTGCTGGGTGTGAGCTCCCGGTTCAGTGGCAGAAGCGCAGCTCCTCCCGGACACACTTATGGACTGGACATGGGAAAGGGCCCTTCCCACCGCGGGGCTGCTCCAAATGCGGGGAAGCAGCACCTCCTCCTCCTCCTCCCCAAGAAACGCACCGTTGAGAGTGCCCAGGAGCTGGATGTTCACAAGGTTGACCACGATGTGAACTACCGGACACAGCTGCAACACAAAGCAGAAATGCGACCACTCGACCCCCCTCACCACCCCCCTGCAGCTGATCAGACCCGCTCCTTTTCCTCTAAATCCCCAGGGAAAAAGTGCTGCGTGGCATCGGGCAGCAGCTGGGATGCTGTGAAGGACTCGGGGGCAGCGGAGCAGCACTGGGGCTGTGGTACCGCACCGAAGAGGCCTGCTTTGCTCTGGGGAATATTTCAGGCATCACCCCGTGGGCAGAACCACACCGGCAGCAGCCAGGCCGGTCACGGACATCCCTGGTGAGCAGCACAGGCCGGTGATGTGGGGAAGCAACACAGAAAGATGGTGCAGCTTGCTGTGACCTCGTAAGGTGTGTGGCTCCTGACATTTCTGCTTGTCAGCTAGGAGAGGAAGGCCACCTTCAGGCTTACCAAACCGGGCAGAGTTGCTGTCAGCCGGTTAAGCACTACCTCATGTACCGACAGGGACAGTAAGCTGGAAAGGAAAGAAAAACATTTCCAGTCACTACAATCACAGCTCCAGGACAGGAGACCACAGGATCTCCAGCCTTCACTTGACACCCTACTAGGTCCTCAGCCATCCCTTCAGGGACGCAGCTGCAGCTCACGCGGGCCAGAGCAGGGGCTGAGCAGAAGGCAGGGGGGCAAGGAGCTGCATCCTCGCCGAGGGGAGAGCGGGGCTAATTTCTGGGAAGTCGTTGTGTGAAGGCTCCAGTGCTTGGGGTGCGCAGACGTCGCTGCACGCCAGGAGTGAGCCTCTCGCAGCGTAACCTGCGTGTGGTTGTCTCCCTCTGGTATTTAAATCAGTGCTGTAGTTAAGGGAAGGTGAAGCTGCTGTGAAATATCTCCACGTTAGTTATGGGAAACAAACAATTTACATGTGGAATAACGAGGAGGAGGAATGTGCTGCGTAACATTTCAGCGCTGCTGCTAAATAGATCACTGTGGGATGCGTGGTGCCTGCAGGCAGCGCGGAGCCATTTACTTTTGATAATCAATATATTTCTGGGCTATTGAGTTAGAACACGCAGCAGCACACTTGGCAAGGCACAGACAGCGGGAATTCATAACGCATCTCATTATTTACACCCAAGTTCTGCCTATAGACACATCTGAGGAATTGCCATGAAGGCAACCGCGTACATCCACACTCCCCCTTACCCCACAGGGAGCTCGCTTCCTGAGCACCATCACTTTCATCCTGCTAAAACTTAAAATACGACCCCCCAGAGCGGGTGATCTGTGCTCCTCTACTCACTTACACAGTCTGTTTCAAACCAGCTGCTGCACTGATTGAAATATAATGCATAATGCAAAAATTAATTATGAGAAATTCAGTGAACCTGAAAAATGAGTAATTCAAAAGCCATAAAAGAAAATATTTCCCATGATCAATTTACTGCTGCATTCGTCAATACCTGAAGTTAGAAAATTCTTTCTGCAGAGAGTTTAATAAGACTGAGCCAGTGATGGGACATTCACACGGAATTCCACACACCCCCGGGGGTCAGAGCAAAGCCCACACACACGCCCAGCATCTTGCTGTGACAGCAGCCAGAGACAGAGTATAAAACCAGGGCGAGCAGTGGTGCTGCTCCCTAGAACACCCCCTGCCCTGTTATTCCTGCCCTTTGGACATCAGCTCAGGAGCTAAGTCTAAAGAAGTGCACTGGAAGAGGTACCAAACCTCATACTTCAGATCTTAAAATTTCCACGGGCAAACAGGGCATAGTAACCCTCATCCTCCAGCAGCCAACTTTTTTGCCAGTTCCACTGAAGCAACTGGCTTTGGCAATGGGAAAGAAATTACTTCCCTGAGGCCTGGCTCTGTATCAACTTAGCACCGTCTGTGTCCTGGCAGACTGTCTAGATCGTTGGATAAAGTGAGGAGGGTTGCACGCAGCGGAAAAGATAAATCCCCAGGCACTTACCCAGAAAGGAGCTTGATCTTTATGGCACCGAGGATGCAGAGGCAGTCTTCGACAGCGACCTGGACTGTGCCCGATTCAAAATTTGTGCATTTAATGTTTGCAGTAATGTTCACATCCACCAAGATTTCAATTAGTTCTGAAAGAAGGCCAACCAAGCTGAAAAAAGCAAATGGGTTGAACGGATTTCACCTCTCAGCCTCTACCCAGAGAAACTCAGCAAAGCCAGCAGCAACAAACTGCACCTCCATCTCCTCCAACTCACTACAAATGCCACGAGCCACCTTTCGGTGCCTGTTCTGCTCTGTGAGTTTACTGTAGGTAAGAAACACCTAGAAATCCATGAAAGATGCAAAATGTTGCACAACAGGAAGCCTGTGGATGGGGGGTTCCCTTAACAGCCACTCTGAAACACCACACTCACCAGTTGCCGCTGAGCTCCAGCTTTGCAGTGATGGTCATCTGGACCCCGATTCCTCGCAGCAGCACCACTGACAGCTTGGCGAGCCGAATTTTGGCAAGGTGTAGGCTGCAAACAACAGCAAAAGCCGGCGCAAATCAAAAGCATCTTCTAACAGCGGAGCAGCTCTACCCGCCGAGGAGCCTAGAGCGCCCACATCACCGCGGCCACCTCCAGCTGGAGGCACGGGTGTTATAAGCAAGAGATACCAGCTCCAGGAGGAGCCTGCAGCTGAAAAGCAAAAGAAGGCAACCTAGAACGGGGCTGGGGGGGAAGCCAACTCCACAGAACCGTCAGCTTTTTCTCTCTGCGGCCCCTTCCCCCCTCTCTCAGAGCTGCCCAGCACCTCAGGTAGCAGCAGCAGCAGCACCAGAGCCGTCGTTCTGCATCCGCACCCATGACCTGCAGCGCACTGCACCGTCCACCTTGCTACCACATGGGAAACTTTTACGGGGTCAGAATTTCAGTATCCAGGTAAACCAAGGATAACTGCTGGGGCCAGTCGTGCCAGCTGCAGCTCAGCTTTTGCTGCTTCGGAACCGATGGTGAAGGTGCACTCCCGGAGAAGCCCTCGCTCTCCACTTACCCAGTGATGCTGGTGGGAGAGTTCAGCAGACCCCCTTCACCCATGATGTTTGGGAGCACGAGGCCCTGCAGGTGCTGCTGGAGAAGCCCGTTCTGAAGTATGGCTTCCGAGAGCGCTGGAAAACAGCTCTGCGTGAGGACCAGCACTTGCAGCAAGGACCTCTCTCCCCCTGGTCAGATCTGTCCTGGCAAAGGCGTCACACCACAAAGACCCCCCGCTCCCCAAAACTCCTTACAACGCCACCAGCTGCCTCGGTGCAGTCAAATCACGTAGCGGGTGGCATTTTACAACGTGCACTGAACCAAAGCTGGCCTCAGTGAATTGACAGGCAGGGACAGCAGTGGAGAGCACCCCAGACCTCCGAGTCAAGACTGCAGCACGGTTTGTGCTACCAGAAACAACCCCACTCAGCCATTGCGCTTCCACTCATGACTTGTTTCCCATTCGTAAAGGGGGGTTGTTTGTTGTTTGGTTTGGATTTTTTTTTTTTTTTAATAAAAACAACTTGAAACAAGACTCTTTTTTTTTTTTTTGCTGGAGCATTGCAAATATTAACACGACTGCTAAACTTCACAGCAGTTGTTTGCCAAATATCAGCTGCTCCAATATGGAAATGAGAAGCTAAGACAAAAAGAGGAAACAATCCAGGTCTAGCCCTGAAATCCTGCATGGCTGTTTGGTGCTGAAACGGCTCTGGAGCAGAGAGACTTCCCTGACCCAGGAACCCAGCGATGGCTGTCAGAAGCTCTGAACAACTATAACAGAAAGATGAAGACACTCGGGAGGTTTCCCTCCTTGTCACGGTCCCGCATAGCTTTCAAAACAAACGTGACTTATGTTTCTAGTTACCGTTCTGCATTGCCACTGGGCTGACGGCGCAGGACAGACCGGACAAGACTTCTTGAGAGGGCGAGAGGAGACCACAGAAAAAGATGATGCCAAAAACCTTCAACTTCATCATCTCTGCAAGACTCAGCTGCTGGCAAGGGAGACAGAGTGAAAAGTGGGGGGGACGCCTCTAAGAAGGGATCCCAGTGCCTTTACAAGGAAAGAGGTCAAGCGAGAAACTCCTCCTCTGCTCTTTACTGACCCAGTAAAGACCCAGAAAGACGAAAGACCCTGCTCGAGCCTGAGGCAGCAGGACCTTGTTCATGTCCACACACGGGGACAGACTTCAAGCATGGGTCAATAAAAGCCCTTTCCTTGTCCTTTGCGACTGGCCCAAAACAGTCTGTGTGTTCACACGAAAGCAAGCCAAACTGCTCTTCCCCTGAACTGGCGTTTCAGCAGTTGTTACTTCTGTACCCCTCAGATGAAAAGTTACGTGTGTCTTGGTAAGGGTCTTTGCCAAGGATTGAGGATTATTCTTGTTCTTTCTAACTTTCAAAAGCAATAAACTGATGCTCAAGTGACAAAAATAAGCTAAACTTATAAGAAATAATTATTAGCATCAAATTACTTATGAAATGACAGACATAGGCAGATGACTTGGAGCTTGGTGCACAGCTAAACCTCAGAGGAAGCCAAGCACCAGGCACGCGACGTGCGTCCTTCCAGAGCGATGACACTACCACCAGGCACGTCTCCCTGCCACCACGCAGCCTTCACCAGCCCAGGCTTTGGTGCACACCGATGCCTTTACCTGCATCACCCGCAGCCAGCTGGGCAGGGCTCTCTGGTCCGCTCAGGCTCTTCTGGAAGTCGTCGAGACTCTGCGTCGTCCTCCCTTTCTTTCCTGCAACCGAGACGGAAGAAATCGCCCTTATATAAAACCCGCAGCCAGCCAGACACACCTTTTCCTCACAACCTCCACGTCTCACGAGCAGGCATCCCTCTGTATTCCAGCGCCTTGCAAGCAACACCCAGCTGCCACCTCTCTTGATTTATATGAGGTAACGTCAGCGCTGACTTGACCGGTTGACATTTCCCTTTGTGGCCTGGATCACTCGGCCGCCGCTTTTCCCCCCCTAGTCTGACTTAAAAAAGATGTCCTGTAACGGTGGCCCCAGTGGGGATCCCCATGCTTTGAGGAAACCAACTTTTTAGGAAATCATGAGAATTACTGAAGCATCTAAATCTGACAGGAGGCTGATGGGGCTGCCTGTGCGGGAAGGCAGGGCACAGAGCAGATGGGCACAGATTCAAGGAGGCTTATAGGAGGAAACCATCCACTTTTCCCAGTCCCTGAGGAGTTGTGGGACTTGTAATGCCTATTCCTGTTTCAAACGCAGCGCTGGAAAAAGATTTTCTTGACAAAAAGCAACGTGGAGAGGTTGCAGAAACCTGATAAACGTTGGCTTTGTCAAGACCAAGCTTCAAATTGATTTCAGTTGTATCTGCAAGGAGTGTCATGAATTGACTGTGAAAAATGAAGTAATTTTGAAATGTATAAAGCCAACAATAAATATCATTTTGAATAAGCAACGCTTATGCTAGCTGAATGAGCCGAGGGCAGCAGAAACGCACATTTCAAAGGAAAATCTCATCCCATAGGGATGAAAATCTCATCCCTCAGCAGCCACCTTGGCCGGGCTTTGCGGAAGTTTCCATTGTGCAGGGCCCCAGGAAGATCTTATCTGGGGACTTTGTTCGGGTCTGGTCACCCATGTTCAACAGGGATGGACTGGGTTGGAAACCGGGCAGCAAAGGGCTGCCGAGATGACTGGGAAAGCAGAGAGGGGCCGGCGTGCTCGGCCTCGCGGAACAAAGACGAGCAGAGATACGATCGGTCTCCACAGACACAGGAGAGGGGTAAATACCGGGGAGGGAGCGCAGAGCTGCTCGGGCTCAGGGACAATGTTGGCACGGGAACAAACACAAGCCAATACGTTGAGGCTGAAGTCAGGAGAAAGCTGCTACCACCGGGGTGAGTTTTGGGCGAGCTTTCCCATGGGAACACAGAAGGCAGCAAAAGGAGTCTTGGGATGCTCTTCGATACCGCACAAGGCGTCTTCTTGCAGTGCCAGCACAGCGCTCTCACCGGCTCTAGTCCTGCTGGCCCCATTTTCTCCCGGGTGTCTCAGGGTGATTTACACTTACCAGTTTTATTGCTGACCCGGCTGCTTTTACTGCCTGGGACAACCCACCCGTGCTTCTCCTTTTCAAAGAGCCTCATCCAAAAGCAGCACAAGGCCGAGCAGGCGTCATAAACGCCCATGTGGAGGGTTCAGGAGAGGCTGCTCCGGCCTTGCACACGCTACGGGAATATCGCTGCTGGCAAAAGGCAGCTACTGGGCACGTACACGAGCAGATTTCCAAATGGTTCCAGACACACCACCGTGCGTGCAATAAACACCCGAGTCGCTGCACGTGCACAACTCGACGGATGCTCAAATCAGACAATCTTGACGCTACACGGCAGGAGGCAGACGCCTGCATTCGTCCCCGACACGCACGTACTGTACAAGAGCAGCGAGCAGAAGCTGTAAGGGAAGAGCACGTTTTACCCACCCCTGCAGATATTTCTTCTTGCTGGGCGAGTTTTTCTTATTCAGTCACATCCTTTGCCTCCCTCTCACACACCTATATTTCATTCTCTCCTTGCAGCAGTGATTTAGATATCACTTACCAGGAGGCTGAATTCAGTTCCGCAGTGACAAGGGAATATATATTAAAATGAAGCATTGCAAGAAATGCTAGAAGAGATTATCGCAACACAAATGCCGGAAAGTGGAAGGGTTTATGGAAAGACTAACGCCTGCAGAGGAAAGGTGCTCCAGAGCAGGCTCTGGCATTCTGACCTGCCCCAAGCTCGCGGCTCAGAAAGATGGCAGATTAAACGGCAACAGGAACTTAAGAAGAGTAATACTGAAGTAAATAAATATTATAATTTATTAAACAGGATTAAATTCACCGATATTATTTCTCTAATGTTCAGAACCATAGAAGCCTAGGGAAAACTTAGGAGAACTGCATACATCTCAAACTAAAATGTTGCACAACATTAAGGAACACAAAAAGAAAAAAAAAATCGTGATTTTTCCACCACAGTTTGATGAACACCACCACATTTTTATGACAAATGGTGGTTTTGAGACATTCCAGAGGTTTGCAGGCTACAGGAACACAAAACCTCTTCATTGTTATGTGGTGAATTAAACAAAAAAGAAGAGCAACCCCAGCCTGTAAAACTTCCTTAACGGGCAAATAGCAGCTCCTTACTAAGGACCCAGATAAACTGGATCCTGTCTCTCGAGGTGAAAAACCTAAATCTGGCAGCATGAACTGCCCCCTCGTACAAGTATGCAGTCAGTTCTCTTGCAGGGACACCTCCTAGAAGTAAGTGGCTGCTTCCAAATGTGAACGTTAATGGAACTGCTCAGTCCAAGCGTCGATGGGAATTAACTCCCCCGATGTCACAAGAAGGCGGCAGCTCAGGAGAAAGGAGAAAACAGGTGGGTGGGAAAACGACACAGCAAAGCTCAGACTGAATCAGGCTGCTGGAACAAAAACCAGGTCAGGAACGGGGGGAAAAAACCAAAATCAGTTTTAAACACTGACTGCGCCTGAGCTCTGAACTTCCAGCCTGGCTTCCCCATAGCTGGAGTCCAGCTTTCTGAGCAGGTTTCCCCACGATGGCCGTACAGTCGGATCTGCGCCGCAGCGGGTCCGGCGCTTTGGCCAGTGTGCTGGTCAGGGACAATTCAGTCCAGAGACTGGAAAACAAATGCTTGGAAAAGTGTCATTGGATGGTGTATTCGCTCTGCCTCACTGCAAGCAGCCTTGCTGAGGGGAGAATTTTTCCTCTCCTTTTCATGAAATTGCTCGGGGAAGCGGAAGGAGGGAACCTCTCCCTGAACTCCCCAATCCAGTGGAACGCGCTGAACCAGAAATGCCGCCTTAGTGCAGCATCTGTCTCTGTAAAGCTACCTGTGCTCTGGTTTGGTTGGGGATGGATGAATCCTCCCAGAGCCAGACTCAAAAGCTAATTTCTAGCAACAGGACTTGTCAAAACATGAGCTGAGATCCCTGGAAAGGAGCTGGAGGGCTTTAGCAGCAACTGCAGGAATCAAACCCTCCTCAAGTTTTGGGACTGGACTTTAGCCCAGCATTGTCAGAAACCCCCAGTCCCCACAGACAGATTTACAGTTGGTTTAGCAGCTTCCCTTGTCAGCAGCCCACAAGGGCAGAGCAGCCTAATTAATACCAGTCACTCTTTACAACAGCAGTGAGCCTCGCCAGATCGATTCCCAGGCTCGCGCTGACCCAGAACTCCTGCTCAGCGCACGCACCAGGGACTTGAGGCGCGTTGTGCGTGGGCAGACGTCAAAAGCATCCTTTCCAGATTTACTTGTGTCTGATCGCTCACCCGTGCGGTTTCCTGCACTGGGAACTCCAGGAACAGAAGCGCAATCCCGGGGAAGGGCCACGCGGAGAGCACAGGCAGGGAAAACAAGGAGAAGAACCCGAGACTCACGGGCAGCGGCTCCAAGGAGCTGCCTGTCAAAAGGAGTGAGAGCAGCAGCATTGATTTCTGGAGGCATCCGCAATGCCGAGCATAAACAGCAAGGCAGAGTAAAATTGCTGCCATGAGATAACAACAAATCAATGTCTCCAGGAATTTTATAGACAGGAAACTTTCTGCTTCCGAGATGTGAACTGAAGGAGAATGAGCGCAATGTCATCAGCCACAGAAAAGGGACAAACTTCATTAGCCAGGCGCAGCGCGATGAGCTGCAGCACAAAACTGCAGACACGTTTTTGCAAACACGACTTCAGGCCCCACCGAGACCCCAGAGCTCCACGAGGCAACGCTGGAAGCAGCCCTGCCCGGAGGACTCGCAGGGAGCACCGAGCCACGCCAGGCAGGACAGGCTGGGGCTCACTCCCCCCGCCGCTGCGGGCAGGCGTCGGTTTTACTGAGTTTTGCAAGATTTTGTCAGCGCCTGTCTGTCACCGGCCTGCGGAGACGGCGTCGAAGTCAAAGTGCTGCCCTGAGCGTCTTTCTGGGCGGACATCTCG